TAAATAAGTAAACATTTAAAAATAAAACGCTAACATCAAGAAAAGCGCCTAGATCTTCTCGTACAAGATAAGATGAGTCAAAAGCAGAGGAGCTAATACTTCAGTAAACAACAATATAAAGAATGAAAAGAACACACTTGGCTAACCACACCCTTACGAGACGCTTGGCTTCATACTTAAAAGTTTCGTTTTCCCTCCTAAGTACAACACCCGAAATCACCTCATTTTGAAACTTACTCGAAGGTGCACTTTTGTCCTCTGATAGAGCAGAAAAGCCGTTGCAATGAACATCACCATCGCTTTTTCCACTAAAATATGCATTTATGAGAGCATCGATAGCAGAATCCGCTTTTGCCGATACCGGTGACGATGGCCTCAAATCGCATCTGGAAAACAACTGTCGAATTCATGCAGTTAGGATTGAAGCTAGTTGAGAATACTCCGTAAGAAATTTATTATTATTTACTAAACCGAATCAATAAATGATTAGTGAGTAACGGAATGGCACAACAAATGATTTTAAGCCCCGTTGAGAATAAAAACTAGCGAGATTTTAACGCACACAGTCTCATCTCCGAAGCTGACTAGGAGAATTTTGATCCGCCTCAGTCACTATTTTTCCAGGCTTGCCCATTGGCATTTGCCAAAAAAAAATTTTCAACTGCCAACAAAAATCATCTAGCTGAAACTTATAAGTTGTCACCCCCTCTCCTTTTCCCCATAAAGAATATTTAACGTGAAATTTTCTGGGACGTTTTCCGAAAAATTATGACTCTGTCCTCGTTTGTCCACCTACGAAGGCCACGGTACCACAATTTACAAGCCGCGATCACCTGGAGGATCAATTTCACATTTACAGTTATTGAAAAAGGCTCGCTTGACGACTTCTTTAATTAAAAAAGCTAAAAGTCCGCATGATTCGAAATAAAGCATCCCGTCTCAATGTCAGAAAGCAAAAATGCTTTCATATCTAATTTTTGTGCGTTTTTTGCAGCAATGCAATGCGAAAAACGCATATTGACGAGAGGGTGTCTGTGTGTGTTTGTGTGTCTGTGTGTCTGTGTGCCCGTGTGTGCGTCTGTCACGGTTTTTCATCTCAAGACCTACAAAAACTACGGGGCTGAAATTTTGGGGACTTAGTCTACATGCACTTACGGGCCCCAATCCCCAAAATTGGCGTCATACCCCGCGTGGTACCCGCGTACGGGTCCCCCAAAGTCAAAATGCTTTCATATCTAATTTTTATGCGTTTTTTGCAGCAATGCAATGCGAAAAACGCATATTGACGAGAGTGCTGCAATTAATGCTGCTTTCAAAATGCTTTCATATCTAATTTTTATGAATGACGAAAGCACTCGGAAGTAGCCTAGGTGGTGCATGCACCAACAGTAACTAAGCTAATGACCCAGGCTGGAACGCACCAGGCGAGCCAGTGCGATCATGCGTTTTTGCATCAAACTTTGAGGTACTCCATCATATTTCCCTGTCTTTGCCCCACCCCTTTCACTCGCTGTTTCCGTCCCTCCCTCTTCCCCCTGGACATCCATCTTCTCGAAGTGGTGACATCGTGCTGCATTATACAGCACGATTACAAAGCAGTATTCTGTGAGTACGGTGCGATGAGATATATGTGGTCCACATCCCCCGCTGAGCGGTTTAACGCAGTTCACTGTGGGATTGTTTGTGGCTAGGAGGGTGGGTGGTTGCTCGTGGTGGTGGGATGTAGGTCGACGATGAGGGGGAGTGTTAGGGAGACAGTCTGTGTTGGGTGGGCGGTCGGTGCTGGTGGGCGGTCAGTGTTGGAGGGCAGCCGGTGTTGGGGGCTTGGGGGCGCTCGGTATTGGGTGAGGCGGG